AGGAAAAAAGATACTGAAATGCTAGAAATTGGGCCAATAGAGGATGGGAAGCTTGAAGAGAGAAGGTGATGAGGAAGGATTTCTAAACATCAGTGGGAAGCAGCTTGAACCCGTAGGTGCCCCACAGTTCCACAGTCCAGTTAGGTCACCACTGAAGTCCATGTAAGCCACCTTAACACCTTCTGCTGTGCCACCTTCTCCTCAAATTACCGTTTTGAAACATCTGAACTAAAATACTCAGCAGACATTTTTCTTTGTTTTCTTCCTGAAAGGTGTTCTGTTTTTTTTTTATTACTAGTGTTTGAAGTCATTTTTTTTTTACTTAATCAAATGGTGTCAGGTAGTAAGAATTTTATTAGTTCTCAGTTTTAAAAATACAGACCTTTTTTTTCCTACATGTGAGATCGTTTTCATTTTAATTGGCATGTTGTTTACACACCAAAATAAGAACTGAACAAAGGCTGGGCACTGTGGCTGACGCCTGTAATCCTAGCACTCTGGGATCCCGAGGTGGGTGGATTGCTTGAGCTCATAGGTTCGAGACCAGCCTGAGCCAGAATGAGATCTCCGTCTCTAAAAATAGCTGGGGGTTGTGGTGGGCGCCTGTAATCCCAGCTACTTGGGATGCTGAGAAAAGAGGATCACTTGAGTCCAAGAGTTTGCATATATAACATTACTATATGTATTTGTCAAAACTCACAGAATTACACGATAAAAAGGGTAAATTTTACTGTATGTAAAATTTATTACAAAGTGCTCCTAGAAGAAGTCTTGGTTGTGTTTACTTTTAAAAAACTATTGAACTTGTGTGCATGGAAGTAATTAAAGTACATCATTATTGTAGTTTAAAAGTTGTACATGACATTTTGTTTTGACTATGTTTTTACTGAATGATCTGTTCCCCATCCCAAGGCAAGCATGAATAAAATTAGGTTAAATGTTTTTTTTTAAAAAAACAAAAACAAAGACATGATTCAGGAGCAGCAAGTGTTAAAGACAAAAGGCTTTAACATTCTGGTAGAAAAAGTTCAATATGTCAGTTAATTAGTTTGGTCATTTATTCAACAAATATTTATTGAGCACCTATTTATGTGCCAGGCACTATTAGGGGTGTTAGGGATATACCAGGAATTAAGCCAAAGTCTTTGCTCTAATGAAGTTTAATTCTAATGAGGTAGACAGACCATGAGCAAGTAAATAATCGTATGAGATAATGTATAATGTGCTACGTTCCATGACAAAGCAGGATAAAGCAATTACTACATCTGGCATATTGTTTTCAGTTCAGATTACCACACCTTAGGAAGAATATAAACTGTAACTTTCTCAAACGAGATAAATTAGGAAAATAAGGGAAGCCTTATTTATATGAGTAAATATAAGCCATGTTATATGAGTAAAAATTCAAGACCCTGGCAACATGTAGCCCTAAAGAGACAGCGCTTAGGAGGAATGTGATGGATTTCTTTCAAGTTTTTGAGGACTTTGTGGAAGAAGAACTAGATTTGTTCTGTTCGAGCTATAGGGTAAAAGCCACAGGAAGATAGTTATTGACTGATCAAAGATGAAATTGATTGGATTTTTTTATAGAAAGATTGACCACTTGATACAATTGTGGAGATGTGGCAGATGAAAAGTTAGACTGGATACATTTTAAGATTCTGAAAGTCTTTGATTCTATGACCTTTAGTAATAATGAAGTTATTACCTCACAAATCACCCCCATTCCATGACCTGTTGGCTGCAGAGAATGTAATAGGAATGAGGCAGCCTTCTCCAAGAAAGGAAGGTAGAATCTTGTGGATCTACTTCTCAATTTATTGCCAGATATTTGATTTCCCAAGAGAGCCAAACTGAGTAACTTCCTCTGCCATTCACTTCCAAGGATCAAGTGACAAGTTTTGATCAATTACTTCGGAAACTGACCAATCTTTGGGCAAGTCATCTGGCAATGAAACAAATTAAGTATTACTCTACTCGAGGAGCAGCTTCCTTTGATTCTAGTTTCTGAGTTCTCACTTCCCTTTCTCACAGGCTTTTTTTTGCCTCATTTTTGTGGGACTGAAACTTTGCCCAGGAACTTATGTTCAGCCTTTAAGTCCCAAAGGACTCAACTCACTTCCTCACTCTTCTCTCTGCTATAGGAAAGTTGTCAGCACAAATCTACCAAGGACTTCTGGCTGCCTCAGATGCCTCAGAAAAAAAAGTTAAGACCTGGGCTGAAACCAGTCTTCCCTCTGACGCTGTGGGACGAGCCTACATTCAAGAAAGCACAGTGGTTTAGGTGAAGTCCTGGCTCCTCTTCTCATTTTCCTTCCTATCCTTTCCCCTTATTCATATTATGGTCTCTTTGCTGTACAGCAGTACACTCTTAGGTTTAGGAGCACGTTTAACTGTATCATAGTGAGACACAGCTTCCCTCCAAGATCCTCACCCTCATTTACACTCTAATGAAAGTGAAACCATAATGGAAAACTAAGTTTTTCCACTGACCAGGATTTCAAGAGTGAAGGGAAATACTGAAATGTCTGTGCTCTGAGAAAACAGAAAGAAAAAAAAAAAAGTACCTTCTGTGCATGTTAAGGATCATAGCATAAGAACAAAGAGGTTTATCTGAAACTAGTTACAGGAGCAGCGTAGGGCTAGCTTAGAGAGGAGAGGAGATTCTAGAATTCTTTCAAAGCTTTACCGAGCTAAATTCAGAAGTATCTCTTGTCACTGAACAATTCTACTCTATCCCAATCAATAGCCTCAATTGTTGTTCCTTTTTCTTCTTTAAAATCTCTGACAAGAGCCAACTTTAAAATGATGGGTTCCATTAACCCCCCTGCCCTAAGATCTACTTAATGAACTTTTTTGTGTTAAGGTTTTCTACTGACAATGATTTCAAGAGTGAAGGGAACTATTCAAAACTATATGCTTTGAGGCAACAGAAAAAAATGTACCCGCAGCTCAACTTTGCTCCAGTCTATGAAAGAGACGTGAGGAAATCCGGTAGGTTCCTATCTTTTTTTTTTTTGAGACCCTTAGTAGAGTGCTGTGACATCACAGCTCACAGCAACCTCAAACTCTTGGGCTTAAGCAATTCTCTTCCCTCAACCTCTCAAGTAGCTGGGACTACAGGTGCCCACCACAATGCCCAGCTATTTTTTTGTTTCAGTTGTCATTGTTGTTTAGCTGGCCCGGGCTGCTAAACCCACCAGCCTAGGTGTATGCAGCTGGCGCCCTACCCACTGGGCTATGGGTGCCATCCAGGTTCCTGTCTTTGAAGGCCATGGTGTACTTAACTGAGATGTGGGCTGGAGGTAGAATCTATGGGGATTATAGATGGGGGCAAATTGGCATCTCTTTTTTTTTTTTTTTTTTTTTT